AGGTGTGGCGCTTTCTGCCGTGGGCTTCCCGCCCGACACGCCGCAGGTCCCGCCCGCGGGTCCCTCAGAGCTGGATCTCCCGCCCGACACGCCGCGGGTCCCACCGAGCTGGATCTCCCTCCCGACACGCCGCGGGACCCACCTGCGAGTCCCTCCGAGCTGGATCTCTGCGGCGCCTCCTCATGCTTGACCGACATGGCCGGTCCTTTCTCGCCCTCTCTCACTAACAACTCGTGAGCTTCCAACTGAGAAACTCTTCTTACTAAGAGACTCCTAAATACAAAAATTTATACTCTTTTTAACGCGTGTTGGAGAGAATGTTGTAAAATTAAAGCTTTAGAAATGTTATTTGTAGAAGTGTGAATAAACATCTCCTTGAAAAAGTACTCAGTATCTACTCACAGGCCACAGTGTGCTAAATCACACAGGAATGTTTTGGCAATGCCAAACGTGAAGCTAAATCCTTAGGAAACATTACTAACAGCCTCACAGTTATAGGTGAAGAGAGATTTGGTGTTTATAAGCTTTAGAGGAGCAATCAGTTCTGGAATTCTATAGACAAGTGTAACTTGAAGACACCAAAGACTTCCTTCCTTCATAAAGCTAAAAGGAAAGAGCTAAATGATCACGGGTCAAAATCTGAACAGACAAATTCTGCTAGTGATCCCGATAAATAAGGTGCTTTTTCATACTACTGGGTTATTGCACCATGAAAACAATTATTTCAAGATCATTAACAGAATTAATAGGTGAGTGATATAGATATAACTAGATTCATATTTGTTATTAAGAGTGTTAGGTCCGTTTTACACCTGCCACTAACAAAGTGACAGCAGAAAATAGGCACATGCCCTTCTAGTTATCAGCGTTGATAAGATCATTCCAACTCTAACACAAAAGCAGAGCAGTTTGTAAAATCAGTTAAAACCACAGAATAGCAAGAACAGTTAAGGTAAGCAGAAGAATACAAAGATCTTGGGATAAGAAAGTTTATGAAGGCTTTATGAGAACTACCTTCCTATTTGTGAAAACAGAAAGCACAGAGTTACAGCAATAAAAGCCGTAAAGAAACTGAACTGTGAGTTGCCCTGAATAGCTGCCTTAGGGTTTTACAACCAGTAACAAAGTGAAAAAAATAAAATGTGTCCTGAATAAGTGAGTCTAATGCCAAGAGACACCCCTGCCCCAGGCCTTGCAGAGGCCCGAGCAGCCTCTGCAGAAGCCCCTGCTCTGTGCAGAGCTCCTTGTGCACCAGGGACAGGGAGTTTTCAGCTCTACGTGAGCCTGGACTCCGCTCAAGCACTTGCTACGACCCAAAAACCTTCCCCATGTGCTCTGAGGAAAGGCAGAGGGCCCAACGGAAGCAACCTGTGGGTGGCAAGGTCTGGCCTACAGGAAACTGTAGCAAATGGAACCGTACCAACATTAAAACAAAACAAAACACAAAACCACTTTTTTGTTTGGAGGGATAAAGAACTAAAAGTTTGGGCAATACCGAGACGTAGCACTGAGTCCCAAAAAGCTGAAGGTCAAAAAAGAAGTCAATTATATACTCTGAAATGCTGATACTGCCTATCAGATAAAAATGATTAATGTGAGCAGGCTGTATCGGAGGAAAACTAAGTTAAATGTGACATGAGGGGGGAAAAAAAGGCAGGCACTAAGGAAGCAAGTTCATATGTAGTTCAAAAGCTAGCTAACAAGAAACATTATAGAAACAAGAAGTTTAATAATTCTGTTATCTGCACTCATCACACGCTTATGTTTAGATGTTTATTCAAGGCCTGAAGCGCCTGTTTCCTCTTTTCTGGGAAAGGAGAAAGAGTGCCATGGCCCTGTGCCTGCACCAGCACCACACAGGAACCCAGGGAAGGGAGAGCGGTGCCGCACGGCCCGGAGACACGGGGCGCTTGGGCGGCCACGGGACTGGGCGCTGGCGCCACGGCCTCTAGCCCTGGGCACCGAGCACAGGTGTAACCACCAGCCCCGAGTGACGCTCTCCTACCCAAGGTACCTGCTGCCATTGCTCTTCTGAGTATTATCACCCTGCACGTAAAGCTTGTGAGGCTCTACCTGAGCACACCCGATCCGTGCAACACCAGCCCCATGCTGGCTCAGTGCAGTCCCACTGACAGATTCCTGGTGAAAAATCACTCACTACGGAATCATCCTAAGCTGATTCTTCCAAGCATGGGAGATCAGTGCAGTATCTTAACTGCAAGGAAGAAGCTGTATATTATAAAACTGCTTAAAACATTCACTCTTTCTTTGCATGAAGGTGTTTATACAACTGTTTGTCTCCACGATTCAACCAGTGGGTTCATGCTGTTGGGTCACTCAAGCTTTGAAAATTACTTTTGTTTGCAGATAAGTGTATTGAAGCGCTTGCCCTCACCTGCACAATGTCACAAATAAAAACTGAAAAGCTCTGGAAATCTGACACACAAAAGGTGCGATCAAGCAGAACTCAGTTTCAAGATAAGGTCAATCAGATTTGGAAGAAAAAAAAAAAAAAAAGGTATGGTGCCCGCAATATGGATGACAGCCTGGCCTGGTGCAGTCAGTCCTTTGCTCCTACAGTTCAGTCATGATCCACATTTGCAACTACAGGTACAGAACCCCAACCACGTTTATGTTAAGAAAAGAAGGCAACACACTGCTGTGCTGCATTACCAGTCACTGCGCTACAGGGAGTAGCGGTGACACGCTGACCACCCCCTCCCGTGTATGCTGTGCTGCATTACCTGCCACTGCGCTACGGGGAGGAGCGGTGACACGCTGACCACCCCCTCCCGTGTATGCTGTGCTGCATTACCTGCCACTGCGCTACGGGGAGGAGCGGTGACACGCTGACCACCCCCTCCCGTGTATGCTGTGCTGCATTACCTGCCACTGCGCTACGGGGAGGAGCGGTGACACGCTGACCACCCCCTCCCGTGTATGCTGTGCTGCATTACCTGCCACTGCGCTACGGGGAGGAGCGGTGACACGCTGACCACCCCCTCCCGTGTATGCTGTGCTGCATTACCTGCCACTGCGCTACGGGGAGGAGCGGTGACACGCTGACCACCCCCTCCCGTGTATGCTGTGCTGCATTACCTGCCACTGCGCTACGGGGAGGAGCGGTGACACGCTGACCACCCCCTCCCGTGTATGCTGTGCTGCATTACCTGCCACTGCGCTACGGGGAGGAGCGGTGACACGCTGACCACCCCCTCCCGTGTATGCTGTGCTGCATTACCTGCCACTGCGCTACGGGGAGGAGCGGTGACACGCTGACCACCCCCTCCCGTGTATGCTGTGCTGCATTACCTGCCACTGCGCTACGGGGAGGAGCGGTGACACGCTGACCACCCCCTCCCGTGTATGCTGTGCTGCATTACCTGCCACTGCGCTACGGGGAGGAGCGGTGACACGCTGACCACCACCTCCGATTGCTGCCGTGACATTCCCAGCTCTCGTTGCAGGAGAAGCACAAACTGACACAAAAAAGGGTTTTGTCCTGTTCCCACTTCTGTTTCACATATAAGTGTGCTCTGCAACCCCACTGACCAAGCTACCTGTTCTGAGAATAATGTGCAACCATTTTACATGCCAGAATGGAGAAGGAAGAGAGTGTCCCTTTACACATAGCTAGCAAATATTTGCTTTCCATATTCTGCAGTTAACAGCCATGATGGTTCCAGGTCCGAGCCAAAAGAGGAAAGGTAGCCTGTGCTAGTAAACCAAAAAAGAGAAAAAAACCCACAGTAATCCAAAAATCAAATGCAGACTATTGCTGGTGCCTGCAATAGCTTTCAGAAAGCCAAATAAACACAGATTACCAGCAAGGAAATCTCAAGTTTATGTAATACACAAAATCTTGAGACTATTACTGAATGTTACAAAGTGCTCCAAAAACTACAAATGGCCCCCAAGGAAATAATTCTAAAATAATAATAATAAAAATTAACCAGAAATCACAAATTGCATTTGTTCTGGCATATGACCTGTATATTTCTTGGAATTAAATATCTGTCTTTTTATTAAAAACATCCTTGCATGTACATGCTGGGTTTAAAACATGAACAGAAGACATCTGCTAGATTAACACCCTTGCTATCATGTTTTAACTCTTTAGAGAGCCACACAATAAAAGTCAGCATCTGATTCTCATTAGTTCATGAGGCAGTCCTAAATTTTTGATAAAAATATTAACTTTATTCTTCACTCATAATACAAAAGAAAACAGAAGGTGCAGAGTTAGAGCTGTTTGGCAGCTGTTGCTTTAGGCTCTTTGGGGTTTTGCAGTTTGCAGTGCACTTGAGGTCCTACCCCTTGGAACTTCTGGCTAAAGCACCCAAGCAGAGCAATGACTACAGCAGTCAGCAGTAAGACACAGCAGGGAATGTCCTTCTCTGAATCTTTCAGTAGTAATAAACTATGGTATGGCCAGGAGCTGACTGTGACCAAAACAGAGAAATCACAGTTAAAAGAGTAGGAAGAATTGGACAAGACCTACATGAGTAAGGCTGAACAGAGCAGCAAGATTTCCTAGAGGGAAAAAAACACACGGGACGAGGGAGAAGGACAGAGTCCAAAAGACACCCCCAAGCGCAAGGGACAGGCAGAGCAGAAAACGAGGAGTGTGCCTGTGGAAGAGGAGCAGCCAGAGAGCCCAGCACAGGACACACCAGTTTCTTGTTAAGGTGCTCAGGAAGCAAAGAACAAGCGAGGGCCCCGAAACGCAGCCGTGATGGCCTCAGAGCGCGGAGGCGGCGCCTCAGCAGCAGGGCAGCACGACCGGCGCCGATGGGCAAGCGCCACACGAGAGAGGCCGCTGTAAATGTGTCGAGAACAGGAGCGTGGCAGCAATCAGAGCTTGTTTTTGAAGAAAGCAGCACAGCAGAATCTTCCACAAAACCTTTTTCTATATGTATTTTTATATATAAAAAAATATATAGAGACATATTATATATGCTATATTTATGTATATAAAACTGGATAGAAACTGTTTATAATTACCCAAAGGAATGCCACTTTTCCCTTAAGATCCTCTTTACTGCATCAAGGAAGAAAGTCTGTTTCATCACTACCCCACTGTACATCACTACATAAAGCTGAACACCCTGCATCAACTCCCTTCATCAGTCACTTCCAAGCCCCTGAAGGCCTGAGAGCCCCAGTTCCCACAGAGAAGTAAATATTCAACAGCAGC